GAAGGCTGATCTAAGGTGTATACCTTATTCTGGTCCTTTTGCTGTCTCTTCTGGCAGTTCATTCTCATCCCAAATCTCAACCTTTCCTGCTTCCATTTAAACTTCTTTCTTTTGTGTCCCTATTAAAATCAAGAGCAAGTTGTTATCATACTCCTTGGAATAACTACTCCTCAAATGATGAATTTATTCAGTCTGGACAAGAAATCAGTCACCAAAACTATATTCAATTTATTTTCTAAGTTCTATTTTTGTGCCTCTAATGATTTTTGGTCTAATTCCTGAGCTTTTCCAATTTCTCCACTTCCCTTGTTGACCAGAAGACCTAAACAGCACAGAGACTCTAATAAGAACCTGACCTATGTTGACCTCAATGGAAGGATGCTATTCTATCTAGGACTGACAACTTCTCCAATCCATCTTCCTGGCTTTCGCTGAATCCCATCAGGATCCTGCTACCTGCAAACCTTAAAAAAGCTCTCCCATAAAAAAGGGAGATTTTAAATTGCTATAACAGGTTTCAACCTGCCGTCCCTTTCCTCAAGGTGGTCTTTCCTGAAGGTGGTCTGATGGGTAGTCCAACATAGATGTCTGGCCCCAAACTCACCTTCCCAACTGTTGATCACAGCATTGTAGAGGTTTAATGAAGTCAAGACGCATTACATTTATCACTTGCCCTAGACCCACTCAAATCCATCACTATGTCACAGCAAGAAGTCAGATTGATCTGACAGGATTTGCTCTTCTTCACAAACCCATGTAAGTTATTACTCAGTGCCCCACGCTCTTCTAGCTGTTTGCTGATTGATTATCTGACGATCAGGTCAAGTATCTTCTCTGGAATCACAGTAAACTAACGGGTCTATAATTTCCAAGATCATTCGTATTCTCCTTTTAAAGATAAGCAAGACAGAAAATGCTTCTTCCCGAGTTCTCTAAAGCAACAGCTAATGCTTTGCTAATAATGAACCAGGGCAGCCAATTCCTTAAGTGCCCTTGGAATCACATCATCAGGGTTCATTGATTCTGGAGATAATCTTTAATCAGGCCCAGATCCTGGTAAACAATGTGAAGCCCTAACTCAGCCTGGGTCTGGAAGGTCTTGGTGCCTAAGTCTGGGAAGGAAGTTGGTGACACAAGCTGTTTAAATCTGTACTGCATGATGTCTTCAGCATTGTGATAAATAAATAAATAAGTAAAAATAAAGCCCTTGAAAGAGAGATGAAAGGAGACATTGACAGACCAAACTGAGACATGATTCAGGCTTCACCTTCAGGAATATTGGCAGGACCCTCTGCAGGACAAGAAAACAGAGCTACATAATTATCTGAGCTTATAATCTAACCGATAAGGTAAGAAAATACACATATATAAGCATATGCCAGAAAGCAGTAAATGCCATAACAGAGGTGCCAAGCGATTATGAGGGATCAGAAGAGGGATGAATCCTATGTGACAGAGATGTGTTAGATTTTAGTCTCATGTCCCACTAGGGCTTACCCAGTGACTGAAGTAGAAGAAATAATATGACATATTAAGATTTGGATCCCTGATTCCCAATGTGGGAGAATCTACAAAACCAAAATTCCCAACGTACCACCCAGCTGCCCCCCCACCACACCAGAGAAACTCCAGTAGCTTGGGGAGGCAGGGAAGAAGACTCTACAGTACAGGCAGGAGCAAGAGGCAGAGAAAGCAAGCGTGGCTTGAGTAGCTCCCAAGCTGCACTCCCTTTCACCCAAAGGACCTTCCTTTAGGATATTCTCCTTATCCAGCTCCTGTGTTCCCAGCCCTCAACAGAACTCACTCCAATGCCCCAAAGGCAGACCAATGCATTAAGGGAGTATAGAAAAGAGGAGAGGAGAAAGGGAAAACTAAAGAGGTTGTCATATCTGCTTTATATAAAATAATCTACCATTCTATCCCTTCCTGAAAAAACCAACCATGACAAATGAACCCAGTTTATCTTTGAATGGACCACACTCCTCCCTACCTTCCAAGTGCCCAATGCTGAGGTCCCCTTCTCTCCCTCCTCCTTACGACTGAAAGTTGTTCCCAGAGCAATATGTCTATGCATCCCCAAATCACAGTCTATAACCTAACCCTGTAGAGAAGAGTTACAGTCCTAGAGCCAGGCATATTCAATGCACCAACACTACAATGAACTGCTACATCAGCCCCCAATCATTCCCTCAAAGCAAACACCACATACTTCAATATCACCTGCAGCTAATCCAAGCCTCCTAGTAGCATTAACTTAAAAGCTAAAAGGTCTTTGAACACAGCTGGTGGCTAATGAAAAAAAGCAAGGAAAGAAATTGTCCTTTCCAACAGAACAACAATGGTACTTACTCAGGTTATCTAATGCTGCATAACAAATCATCCCAAAACTTGGGGCTTAAAACGTCAATAATCATTTGTTATCCCTCACAGTTCCTGTGAGTCAGGAATTTGACAATGGCTCAGCTGGCTGGTCTGGCTCAAAGTCTCTCCTAAGGTTGAAGTCACATGTCCACTGGGGCTGCAGTCATCTGAAGGCCTGACCGGGGCTGGTAGATTCACTTCTAAGAGAGCTCATTCTCATGACTGGCAAGTTGGGCACTGGATTTTGGCTAAGAGCCTCAGTTCCTACATACATGTGCCTCTCCACAGGGCTGCTTGAGTGTCCTGGCAGCATGACAGCTGGCTTCCCCCAGAGCAAGTGGTCCAAAAGAGCAAAGTGGACTGCAATACTTTTTATAACTTACCCTCAGAAGTCATACATTATCTCTTCCACTGTATTCTATTAGCTCTACAGGGATATCTTTGATTCAGTGCAGGAGGGGAACTACCAAGGGTGTGAATAGCAGGAGTTAAGGATCACTGAGGTCATCTTGGAGGCTAGCTACTATAGTATTCCTTAAAGGAACAAGTGGCAGTAGCAGGAGAATGGAGGAAAGAAGAGAACAGAGAAAGGAAGGACGGGAGAGAAGGAAGTATGTTGATTTCCAAAAGCTGAGACCAGAGAAAAACAATGTACCCAGTTCTCTCCAGAGACTTCTCAGGTCTACCTTACACTAGCATACCTGAAACAAGTCCTGCTTCCTAGACAGGAACTCTAAATGAGTAGCTAAAAGACAGGAAGGCATGAGAAAGCTCCTTTCGGTCCCAGAAAGCAAAACTATCCTCCCTCCCTCCTTGCCCACCCCACCTTTTCTAAAGCAATGATGGAACAGTTACCTGAGGATGAATCTGTGGCTTGTCGCACGTGGCCTCAAAGTCCAGCACTAAAAAGTAGTGATACCTCTGGGGAGGGAAGGACACCATTGCCGCCATGGATGCGCCAAAGCCGTGGGCCGCCAGCTTTCTGGTGGATATGGAGCAGAACTCCGGAACACCACAGGGAGAAAATAAGTGGGAGCCCAGCACTTTTCTTGCTCTTGAAAGTAAATACGAAGAAAATCGAGCTGCTCCAGTCTGTAAAGGTGCTAGCATTGAACATCCAGAAGCATCTAAAACTTAGGGGAGGAAAGTTTAAAAAAAAAAGAAAGAAAAAAAAGAAAAAAAAAAAAAAAGAACAGAGAGCCTGGGTTACTCCCTCCCACTGTGGCCCTGTTCCATCTAGTCTTCAGGAATATCCACGCAACATGGGCCACTCCCCAGTGTTTCTGGGCCCCTTTTCTAAATCATAGTATTCGTTACCGAAGTTCAAGACCCTAATAGCAGCACCTGCAGCATTATTACAGCTCTGAGTCTCCCAGATCATTCTCAAAACAACATGCAACACGGGCCTTCATCTTTAAATGGAGCCCTAAAGTTCAAAAGAGAGAAAAGAGAAAAATTGTGCAGTCACTTCTCAGGTGGCAACAGTTAACATTAAAGCTATGGGCCCAAAGTAACATGAGGTGACCCTGTTGTACAATCAGTCCTGGAAGCTAAGTAGACTCAGACAAGCAGCAGAAAATGTCCAAGGCTCTTTTCTCAGCTCCACTAGGAGCCATTTGCCCCTGGCTTTCCAGTCTGTATCTTGATGTCTCCACATACCCTCCTCCCCTCTCCCAAGGTGAAGGCAAACAAAGCAAATCACAGGGGAGTTTGCTCCCAGCATTCTGGTGATCCCCCAGCCCCCACACTTGTAAGTGGCACCCGGGGGGGAATGAACAGTGCCTGGAGAGCACAGCTGGCAACAGCCTTAGGCCTTCTCATTTGCTGCCTTAGACTCAGTCTCTACTAGAGGCCCTGAATGACTGCGGGACTTTTTAAATAGGGAAGAAAAAGAAAACCCAGATGTGGCAGTAATAGGAGCACGGCTAAAAGTCTAGTAAAGTTTTCTGAGTTACATGTGCAAAAAAAAAAAGAATCACTTTTCCTTTAAGTTTTCCCCTTAAATTTGCAGAATGCCTGCTCCTCAGAGGCCTAACCAAATATAAAAATCAAAGCCTAAGTTTTACTCATGAATAACTCAAACTTCCTTAAAAAGAAAGAAGGAACAAAGCAGAAATGTTGTCTTTCTCCCTTTAATACCCAACATTCAAATTTCTCTCAACTTTAATCCTCAAATAAGAAATCTCACTGTACAATACAGTAATGGCCATAGTTTGTGCTTTCTGAAGCCCCATTCCAACACAGCCAAAGGCTTGCCTCTGATGGCTGCAAGTGGGCACCTGGCTCCCTTCACACAGGGTAGAGGGGATAGCACCCTGTGAAGTCCAGCACATACTCAAAGGCAATTTGGTCACTACCTGAACAGAAGCAGATAATGCCAAGTATGGCTGTCTTCCCATCTCTCTCCTGACTCACTGAATGAGCTACAGTAACTTGCCTATATATTTACTAGGATATACGCTAGCATAGCTCCTCGATTTCCCTATCCCTATAATGAGATTTCAGGGGGATTCAGTGGAGCTAAGACCAAAAAATATTTTAAGTTCTTTGTGGATCCTGCACAAGCACAGCACTTGTTTTCACCACTGCTTTATAGCCTCACCAAAAATACAGCCAAAACTCAGCCCCAGTAGACAAACGCCAGCTTGAGTTTCACTATGGAGTTTCCTGGAAAGGCAAGAGGGCCAATATCCTTTTGAAAGCCAGAATCTTCTCATCACCTATTCCTGAACCGTACTGGAAGCCTTTGAGCAGCCTCGGTCTGCTCAAATTACCCATTCTAGTTTGGATTCAAAGTGCCTCAAGGACTTAGACTCTTCTCTAACCCGATAAAAAAGTGTAAAGACTTCCAAAAGTCTTAATGTTCCACAATGTGCACAGAATATGCATTGTATGTACAGTCAGTCAGATCCTATCTACCAAATACTATAAGCAATTAAGCATGATGAGCAAGGAGGGCTTCCAAGTTTGAATTCTGGCTTTACCACTTACTACCCATGGCACCTTGGGCATGCTGTGTTCTTCAATTCCTCATCTGTAAAATGACAATAACTATAGCACCTACTCCTTAAGTGAGAATACCATGAGACAACACATGCAAAGCACTAAGAGCAGTGTCTGGCATATAAGGGCTTAATATATATTAGCCTAATGTTCTTACTACTATCCTATTGGGCTATGCCTAACTGGCCAAGCCTGGATCCCCCAGATTCTGGGCCTACAAATCCAATTAATTCATAAGCCAGCCTCAGAGAGTAGTATCGATGTCTTATGCAACCCTAAAATGCTCTAGACCTCTGACAGAGCATACTATACATACCCTATTCTGATGGCCAGTGGTTCTCTTGCCTGCAGGCCTTGCTTTTTCACCTGATTTCATCTACATCAAAAAGCTTCTTTTGGTCAAGCACAGTGACTGACACCTGTAATCCCAGCACTGTGGGAGGCTGAGGCAGAGTATCGCTTGAGCCCAGGAGTTTGAAATCAGCCTGGGAAACACAGTGAGACCCCATCTCTACAAAAAAGAAATTAAAAATTAGCCAGGTGGGGTGGTGAATGCCTGTAGTCCCAGCTACTTTGCAGGCTGAAGTAGGAGGATCGCTTGAGCCCAGGAGGTTGAGGCTGCAGTGAGCTGTGATGACGCCACTGCACTCCAGTCTGGGTGACAGAGCAAGACCACACCTCAAAAACAAAACAAAACAAAAAAGCTTCTCTTGTAGGAAGTCTTGAGAGTAGACATTAGGAGGTCAGGCCTCCACATATCAGCAGTTACTGGATTCCACACTTCCCTTACTTCTAACAACCAAGTTCAGTTAAAGTCAAGAAACAGAGGGTAGCTCTTCCTCTTCCCTTCCTGAAAAACTCAATCCTAAAGCCATTAGGTGCAGCAGAAGAGGGCAGATATCTGTAACAGGTGGAGTAGGGTGAGCCAGAGAGGTCTGGGGGACACTGTCAGAGCCCAGGCAGGGTGAGGAAGACATCCTTGCAGAGGTGGGAAGGTGTGGTACAGCATGTCAGAACCAAGGCGGTGTGGAGAGCATCCATGTGGGCTGGCAGTCTGATGTGGGGTGACATAGGCAGGGTAAAAGAGGCACTCATGAGGGGTAAAGGGCAGTGGCAGTAACATGAGATTAGCTACCTACAGAGGAACTGATCAAGGAAGTGCATATATTAAGGATAATGGGACCCGAGTTTCTCACTGTTACAGAAAGGACTTAAAATATGGAAAGGGAGAAAATCTGTGGTGTTGGATTGGAATTGGCAGGAAGAATGTGAACTCATGGTTTTTGATTAGATGTATATCAGATAGACAGATGGATACACACACACAAATATACATACATATGCATATATATTTCTGTTTAAGGAAGAGCCAGGGAGCAGTAACAGTGGCAATGAGCACACCTAGCACTCCATTGCCTTCTAGTTTTTTTTTTAAGATAGGGTCTTGCTCTGTTGTCCAGGCTGCAGTGCAGTTGCACAATCACAGCTCACTGCAGCCTCGAACTCCCAGGCTCAGGCAATCTTCCCACCTCAGCCTCCCAAGTAGCTTGGACCACAGGCACATGCCACCACATCCAGCTAATACTTTTATTTTTTTGTAGAGATGAGAGTCTCACTATGTTGCCCAGGCTGGTCTCAAACTCCTGGACTCAAGTGTTCTTCCCACCTTGCCATCCCAAAGTGCTGGGATTACAGGCATGAGCCACAGCACCCAGCCCCAGTTGCCTTCTAAATACCATTCTCCACTAAAAGAAACAGAGGTCCTTGAAGAAATGGCTGATTCCAGGGATGCAGCAAGAGAAATACAAGATAAGCCCATAACATCTTACACCACAAAGCAAGGAAACACCCAAAGAATGATGGGAACATACCAAAAGGATACAGAAGCCACCTACTGGCCAAGAAACAATGATAGTAATGGATTATAATGCACTGAATAGAAAACCATGAGTCCATAAAGATATAAATCAATAAATTAAACTTTGATGTGAGATATTTACATAGTTTCAAAGTATCTCCCCAAGAAATACTTATTAATTACAACGAGGAGTAATTTTATGATGGAGAAGCCTGGCAGACATCACCTTAATCAAGTGATCAAAGCGAACATTATCAATAATGGGATAAATCAAAATCATGTAACGAAAAGAACAAAGCATCATTTCTGATACATTCCTGAAGATACACAACCTAAATCTAATCATGAGAAAATGTCATACAAACCCTAATTGAGAGACAATCTAAACAATAACCAACCTATAATCTTCAAAAGTATCAAGGTCATGAATGCCAAGGAACGTTTACTGAGGAAAGTCTAAAGACTAAAGAGACTTGATAACCAAATGCAACCCACAACTCTGAACTGGATCATTTTGCTGCAAAGAACATTCCTAGGACAACTGGCAAAACTTTAATGGGGTCCGAGGATTATATAGAGGTTTTGTATCAATGTTAATTTCCTGATTTTGATGGTTGTATTGTGACTAGGTAGGAAAATGTCCTTGTTTATAGGAAATGCACACCAAGTATTCAGGGTGATGGGGTATTAGGTCGGCAATTTAACCCTCAAATGGTTCAGGGAAAAAATTCCTTCTACTGTACTTACAACTTTTAAGTAAATTTGGGCTGTTTCAAATTGTTTTTCAAAATTGCTTTTTAAAATCAGCTGGGTGGGGTGGGGTGGCTCACACCTGTAATCCTAGCAGTCTGGGAGGCCAAGGCAGGCAGATCGCTTGAGGTCAGGAGTTCAAGACCAGCCTGGGCAACATGGCAAAACCCCATCTCTCCTAAAATTACAAAAATTAGCCAGGCATGGTAGCACACGCCTGTAATCCAGCTACTCAGGAGGCTGAGGCAGGAGAATCGCTTGAACTCAGGAGGCAGAGTTTGCAGTGAGCTGAGATCACATCACTACACTCCAGTCTGGGTGACAGAGACTCTGACTCAATAAATAAATTAATTAAATTGTTTTTTTTTAATCCATGTGCAATGTAGTTAAAATTTTTAAATTAAAAATATCACACAGACAGTATTTGAAGGGAGAGATCTCCCTGTAATGCCCACAGAAGGTAGGCTGCATGTTCTCTCTGGCAGAGAGGCTCAAAGCATCTCTCAGCCCAAACAGTATCTC